TACATACATGTATATCTGCACATATATCTTTGATGTTATTATTATTAGTCCACATCAATACTATTCTGCAGCTTGGATAAGACCAAATAGCAAGGAAAACGACCTTTTAAAGTCATAATTTTGTTATTTTTAACATTCATTGCTAAAAAAAACTTTTTAAAAATTAGTGTTGTCGGCAACCCCAGAGTCCTACATCCTAATCCCTTTCCTGCTATGCAGTGTATAGATCATTTGTGTGCACTTGCTATTAAAGTGCAAACTCTAATGTTTGATTATTGTTCATTAAAGGGATACTTGAGTTCTGTTGCAGAGGGCGCTACACAAAATAATTTTTTGTGAGATAATGAAAAACTGAGTGTCAAATTTGAAAGAACATAATATTTAAATGACAAAATCATCTTTGTTTGATCAAAATCGGTTCAGAGACGGCTGAAATATAACGATTTCTAATACTTGTGTACCACCACAAATATTAGATATTTTGAAAAATTTGAAAAAAACGTTTTGAAAAAACGAAATAACGCCTTTTACGTCGTATTTCAGCCAATGCCAATGTTGGCTTTTTTGTTGGCATTTTCCTGTTGCTTATATTACTCACAATTAGCCGGCTCATGTATTGTTATTTTTAATTTAATAATTAATTAATGGTCACCATGTTTTTTTGAAAGTGGAGCTGAATTGGTATGATCGTATTGGCTAAATTTCACACATTTTGGGGTCTAAAATTATCTTCATAGCAATTTTAGGTTCTAAAAGGGCACTAGAAATGTCATAGATGAGAATAAGAGCAATAATCATGCACTTTGAAGGCATTTGTGGTCTGAAAACAGAACTCAACTATCCCTTTAATAGTTATCAAACAAATTAATGGAGTTCACAAGTTCAGTGTGTGCACAAAGTCAATGGCATGGCAGATACAGTAGTTTTACAGCCTACATGAATTGACCAGTACATGTAAATGATACACTTTTAAGAAGTATGGTGGAACAAGTTACAACCAGACTCTGCTCTGGTATCATTCATAATTGAAGACAACTGATTTTCACTAAAAAGTTGACATTATGTACAGTGTACAGCTCACTTGCTTTCTGGATCCAATAGTTGGTTTTTGATTTATTACAGAAATCACCTCATGAACATACCACAGATTTATGTGGATTTGTCCCAAGGATGAGTGCAGAGCTCTACAGAAACATTCATTTCTTCTTCCTATTTTATGCTCAAAGCAGCCTATGACTACCTGTCCTTCCATTACCACTATTTGTCCTTCCGTTACCAGCTTTGGTAACGGAAGGACAACTTTTAATTCATTTTAATTAATTAACAAAGGAGGGTTTTAAGACTACATGAACACTAAATTGTAGGCCTACCTAAACTTGCTTTGCATTGTAATTTTTAGTGTTCTTCGACTACTCTTTTCAGTACAATATTGAAAAAAGACCCTTTTTAGGTAACGGAAGGACATTTTTCAAGGAGTAAATTAAAGAAGTCACTGAAGCGGAACGAACCATTGAAATCAATAAAAAACATGAAAATCTTAATTTTGTATATCTTGTAGGTTAGAAACATGATTGTGATGACATGTAAATGTTACATGTTATGTGTAGGACATTAACACTTTTGTGTGATAATTTTTACTTTTGAAAGGTTAATAAGGGTAATTAAACAATCAAAATTTTGGCCACAACGCTCTAATTAAAGTAATTTTTTACTAACAGGCGAGTAACAGGCGAGTATAGATCTACAAACATACATTGTAAATGCATACAAGTAAATGTAGATGCCCCAATAAAGAAAAGAAATATTTCATAATTCATATCACTATCAACAATAATAAACATAAATGTAGCTACAAAGTACAGTGTACATTTAGCCCACCTGCCCTAATAATAAGACACTCAAAGCATTCAAGGAATAAATTCTGACCAGGCACCCATTTACTACACCTCGGTATAGAGCACATGTACAGTATGTAAATTTATTGCAAAAGGACGCACCACAAAGTACATTAAATGTACATACAGAACACCTGCACATGTGATCCACAGTCTGATGACATGTTTGCCAGACCATAACACCTCTACATACAGTACATGAACTATTAAACATCGATCGAAACTCTGTCGCATGACAAAGGAAATGGTTAGATTTGATTAACGATCTAGTACTAGGTATCCCTTTTTTACATACATGTACATGTATGTACAGTATACCAATTAACACTTCCTGTTTCCCAAACACTGTCATATACATGTATATCATACATTAATAAAATGGGCACATATAAAGTCATAAATGATACTGTGGAATTACAATTTACAATGAAAATGAAACCCGTTTCACCCAGGGAAATTTGACATAATGCTTTCAAAGGGTCTAGCTTGTATGCGGAAGTCTCAAGTTGTCAGATAATTGAAGGATTCTGGCCTTGTGGCTGAGTGGGAAATGACTAATTCTAAGATAGGAACCTACTCCCAGACAAGGAGGGAAATAATTGACAGTGAAATGGCCAGAGAGTGGAAAGCCAGGAAAGGGGGTTCATGTTGACAGCAAATTTGTATACAAGTACATAGTCGGGCATGCAGGTGAAATGCTTAAATTGTTAAATGTTACTTCCAAAAACGAGGTCCTGTTTCTTGAAAGCTCACAGACAAATAAGGTCTACAATGTATGACATGTACATGCACTTTCTTCAAGATTTGACAAGTTTTGCAAAATACATGTACACTGTACATGTACATTTTAATGTACAATGTAGAATGTACGCATGTCCTGTATCTACTAGTGTTTGAGATTACTATTTTGATTAAGTTGGTTTCTACAGTATGTGGAGTATTAACTGTTTCCATTTGATCTACTAACTCTAAAAATTATGTCTACATGTTTGTACAGTATCTACTATACTAAAATTATATACATGTACCATACACTGTACAATTACAATTTAATACATGTATTTATGTCTATAAACTCTTAAATACACAAACTGCTATATCAAAGTGATCAGACACAAACAATATTTAGCCAGGAATATGAGGCACCCTTGTGACCCTTGTTCATCTTTTGAAAGTCCTACATAAAAACTAAAGTGCCCCCTCCCCCAAATGCTAATATAGAGACTGCTAGTATAGAATTCTGGTTCATTAATTAAAGGGCAATCCAACCCTTGTAACAAGTTGATTTGTATGAAAGCAGAAAAAATAACAGAAACAGAATGGCAAAAGTTTGAAATGAATCGGACTAATAGTAATTTTATGACTGTTTGAAATATGAGATCACTAGTCTATGTGAATCTCAAATTGGTACTTCGGTCAGTGGATGGACAGACGGACAACCTGAAAACATCATGCCTCCGGCAGCTTTGTAGCGGAGGCATACAAACTATGGGTACTAAATCTACCACAGTGGGCAAGCCATAGCCAGTTATATATTCTCTAGTTAACGACCAATATCAATTTCAAGATAAACTCTATCCCCAAATGTGTAAACTGAATACTCCAGTAGTTTAAAACATGTGTTGTAAGGTATTGCAGGCATACCGGTAGATTTTGTCATTTTGATATTTTGTTGAAGCCTAAAACATTAGACACAGTTATTACTACCATCGTATTTTACTATACAAATATAATGAAGGTGTATTTTATCAACTATCAAATGAATTTATCAGGGGGTCACAAACACAAAACTGTCATAAAATGACTTTAATGAAATAATCGCGATTGTATTTTATAAGCAATTCTTTTGTACATGTACATACTTACTGAATTATTTTGTATCTCTTGTCCCCTGCTACTATTTTCGATCTGTTCATTTCTTAGATTATTAAATAATTGCAGTTTTCCTAAAATTCCCCTTTTTTAAATGAGGCAAAATTTTAACCGCCCCCCCCCCCCGAAAACTACCCCTCAAGGACAACAACCACCCTCTGAGGATATTAACCCCCCCCCCCCCCCCCAGGACAACTAAGGACAACAATCCTGAAGACAATTACCCCTCCACCTATTCATTAAAGGAGAAGCTTGTCTACCCTGATAAAAAGGTAATTTTTTTGGGGGGTGGGGTAATTTTCGGGGGGGGGGGGGGTAATTGTCCTAGGGGGAAATTTGGTTTTGATGAGGAGGTAATTGTCCTCGGTGGGTTAATTTTCCAGGGGGTAATTGTCCTAGAACCTGAAATTCAACTACATGTAAGCCTTAATTTGTCTCAGTTCCTAGTCCTACATGTAGTAGTAATTGTTAGAAATATTAGTATTGTTGTAATGAAATGTCTAGACAGTCAAGATTAAAAGCTTTTTCATGAAATGGTTTTGGAAAACCAGAGACACCTCCGTAGTTAGGGGATAAAGTTATTACTGTCTCGCTGTTGGTTTCAGGACTCTGCCTCTCACTCTCTGCTCTGGAATAGATGGCAAAAAAAAGTGCACCCCTCTACTCAGGCTAGCCTTGCCCTGCCCTTGGCCTTGACCATGATAAGTTGCAGTAAGGCAGAGGTTGATTGAAGTTTTAGTTTTGTTTCTCTTTATATCTGTAGAAAGTCTAGGTCTAGTATGTCTTCCCCTCTTATTTTTGTTTATTGTTTATTCATTGTTTATATCTTCATGTAAATATGTTGTTATGTGGACCTCTGCTCTTGCAGCTGAGTCTGGAATAATGCACTTTCGCAGCAATCAACATGATCTTAGTCCATACACATATTAAAGAGTAGTTGTACAAATGTAGAACTTATTTACTAGTCTCCTGCTAAACTATATCAAACCTGAGCTGAAGCCCCGATCAAACAGTCATCAAGGTCGTTTTTAATTGACACTCGTACTCCCTAAAACGCGCTAATTGTCCAATAACTAGGAGACGCGAGAGCTGCGAAACTTCGCATTCACCTGCGCCCGAACTGCGGGCCTTGGTCAGCAGACCGTGTCGTTCTTCTTGATAACGACGAGAATAACATTTTCAAAAACTATTTCAAAAACTAATTTAACTGATGTATGAAATTATAATACTCACCTCTTCCACACTCAGAGGCATGCATATACGGTATTCCTTGATAAGCATATTTGTTACTCCACATGAAGCCAAGAAGTCCAAGAATTGTGTTTTCCTGAACGGAAGTTAAAGTTTTCTGCTCAAAACCGACGACGTTTCAACAACCGATTAAACGATTTGTTTTGTTATCGATATCGACGAATCTAGCTAGCTTCGAAGTCAACACTTGTCTTTGGGCTAAAATACTATAAAATACTAGAAATGGCAGAAGCACAGAGTACAACTGGAGCTGGAGATGAAACAGCTGATCCTGGAACACAGAATGACCAGATTAGTAAACAAACGAAGGAAGGGGATGTGGTCAAAAAGAAATCAGATAAGGGTAAATAATCATACTCTCACTCTCTTCCGGATATTGTAGTCCCGTGTGTTTTCGTTCATGTTAGTTAGAAATAGTCCAGGCTAGTCCAGACAATCTGCAATGAAGCCTATGAAGGTTTAACTGCAATTCTGCGTTAATAAACCTATTTCGTCGCGTTTTTTATTCATTTTATTATGTATTACACAAACTTTATGCTTATCTCTGAAGACGAACACAGAAAGCATTTTGCAGGGACCAAAAACAATAGCAATCGTGACTCTATCAAGCCAGTGAGTCATGAACATGACTGAGTTTTGTTTTTAACTATTTTTTCATTATATTTTATTGCGTTCAAACTTGATTTTTCTTCAAATTTATGACCTAAACTAAGTGTCTAAAGACTCTAAAGACAAGAGGGCACTCATTCATAGAGTCATCATAAGCATACTTTGTGTGTTGGAAAAACATTAATTCTCAAACACCACTGTACGCGTACTGTAAGCCCTCGTAAAAAGTTGTCGGACTAGGCCTACTAGAGACTTAAAGTAAGAGGAAAATGCTGACTCTGATAAATGATGATGATGATGGTTATGATGATGATAGAAGGTGGTAATCTTTTTAATTCTTATTCATTCTCAATAGACTACTAGAGACTTAAAGTAAGAGGAAAATGCTGACTCGATAAATGATGATGATGATGGTTATGATGATGATAGAAGGTGGTAATCTTTTTAATTTTTATTCATTCTCAATAGACCTAGGGGTCTAGCGTCAATTTTATCACATCACAAAAGTGTGTCAACACACATATATAATAATGAAAGTTTCATCATTTTTTTTCATGCACTTAAGTTGTGCTCAAAAGTTTAATTGTCTTAAATCTACTTCTTCATCCTTACAGTTGATATTCTACTTAAGGCGACAGGCAGTGCACCGATCATGAAGAAGAAGAAATGGGCTGTTGACGCCAACAAGAAGGTCGCATGGGTCATTGACTTTATCCATAAATACCTGAAATGTGATCCTTCACAGTCATTAGTAAGGGAAGGCAACTTTATTATCACTCGCGTTCGTCCGGGTTCGGGACGCCTACTTATCTCTTAATCCCCCGTTCCCGGACGCGTATTGTACGCTGGCGGTCCCTTGGCGTCCCTTGCTCGCGTCTATTGTTGTCTGTTGGACAATAGAGCAGGCAGCCAGAAAAGAAGCCATCCCGTCCGCTAGGACCGCTGTCAATGAACCTCACTGCTATCCAGCCCCTCTCTAATCCTTACTAATCTGGCGTCCCCTGACAATAGCTGACCCGTCTAGAACGCGTTAATCTGGTGTTCCCTGACAATAAAGTTGCACCCGTCTAGCTCGTGTTTAAAATACAAGATAGTAAATTTTCATAGATGAATTTTCAGTCTTGAAAGCAGAGCTAGAGCTGCAATCCTCCCGTGTTGATTGATAATAATTTGTCTAAAAAATGTGTCGCGCGCTAAAATAATAAACCTAACCAGCAACGCCTCAAGTCTTTCTACATACAGCCGCATATGAATAAAAGCTTCTTGTGCGACACTGCAAATATATAAATCATATTTAGTAGTGTCTGTATTCCCCCAACCTATTAATCAGTACTGCATTGCGTGTATCAGCAATTCGCGCAAATCAAAACATGTGGATAGCGGTCACGTGACCTAAAATGCGGTCACGTGATCTAAACCCTACAGCGCTGGTAAAGATACCACCACACTCGAAGGGCGCTTGCGATAAGCGAAAAAACTCGTTACAAAATCTCTGATTTTTTTTATTTTAAGCGCTTTTTTTGGCGAAGCCGTTTTTTAAAACTTGGCTAAGCCACCGCGTGCTTTGGAAATATGGCTCCGATTCCGCACTTGTGACAGCAAAATTTGGCTTTTGGGGTGGATTTTTGGAAGTGACATCGGGATTTCCTTGTACTAGTGAGTGACGCTGTGTGTAGTGCAGTGCACTGATATGTAATTTGCGTGTGTTGTGGATGCTGGTTTGATATCACGATCGGATGCATGTGTGTATGCATGGCCTGGGGTAATGCGCACGTCTTTGAGTGGTGTACATCCCCTGTGTTGTGTGTATGCATACTATGCATACGCTCGTTCTCACAGCCAACCTGTAGCCGCGTTCGCATAGCCATACTCAGAACTTACAATTTTAGCACAGCAAAACAAATACGTATTTTCCCTTAAAAAAACACGTATAAATACGTTAAAAACGTTCTGCTTGGCAGCTCTGTGAAGTCTGAGTTTTATCTAAAGTCACAGCAGAAAATTCAGTGTTTTTACAAAATAAATATAGAAATAAAAATAAGGATTTACATTGCATGCATGTAGTCTACCTTACAAGTGAAGATGTAGATATGTAACTTTGCCCCCCTGTTTTACTTTTCCCTTTTGCTGATTTTTTTTTATTCTATGCATAATCAGGCCTCTCGCCAAGAAATTAAAAAGGCGTGGCGCGACACGAGGGAAAATTTAACCCCACCCCCCTGAAGAAAAAAAATTTATAAAAAATAATTAAAAAAACGTTTACAAGTATTAAGAGTAATTTGATTAACTGTTATCCCTGTATTATGTTCCGAGTCATTGTCATATTTACCCTTGCACTAAATAATCAATATTTATAGTATGTTGGAATTTGTGAAATTTGTTATCCAATGTTACGAAGGAAAAAAAAATGTATATGATCATAGTTGTTTGGATTTTTATCGAGCTAGACCAAGTCATGTATTTAAAGCTGTAATTATTTTCCTTATATTAAAAACAATATTGCATTTTCTTATTTTTACAAAAATTGCAGTACTCAAATTTCTTCGTCTTTTACTTTATATTGGAGTAAAATAAATTCTCTGTCTCAAAATGACATATACACCCGTCGACTTCGAGACACCAAAGCAATTGATAGAAAGTCTGAAGAGCTGTCGACGTGTTTGTACGCCCGCGTCATTAACATGGCCAGTTCATATTTGTAATTTGCTGGAAATTGTTCTTTAAAAATGAGAAATTCACGAGTTTGAGTAGGATCTCACTATTTCATACTTATGTTAAAAATGATTGTTAAATATCATAATTTTGAGTTTTTTTTATTGCCCGATATGAAAATGCAGCCACAAATGAATTTGAAAATTTTGATTGACTGCATAGTTGCTTAGTAACCAGACATACTAGTCAGTTCATTCATGACTTATGAAGCCGCCTCTGAGCTAATGTAAACAAAAACAAAGCCATTTATGGGCCGAGTGAATGACCTCAAGTGAATGTGACAGAGAAGAGAGCGAGAGAGAGGTTTTCCCACGCTTATCTTTTCAGGGGGGGGGTGGGGGATAACTTCACGAAACAGACAGCGCAATAGAGAGAGAGAGAAAGAGAGGGGAATGTCTGATGGAGAGCGCGCAAACATGAAAGGGCTTGGCCGCCAAGAAGGGATCGGAGCTGAACAAGGGGGAGAAATTAGCATTTTGATAAGATTGGATTATGTCCGCATTATGTATCATCGACCAAGGCCACGTGATGAGTGATGGCTCACTCGTAGTTGGTAGTTGTAGTTGGTTTCTCAAATAAATAACAGATAGTAATGAAATGTCCAGAATGAGTGAAGTGAAGTTGTGGATCTATCTTTGCCTTCACGTTGGTTTTACTTTTCCCTTTTCAATGCATTTTCGTATTTATTTAGTCGCCCTTTTTACCTGCGGCTGCCATCTTTCCGTCTCCCGATCCTTTCTTTCTTCTTGAACTCTAATATTTCTTTATTTATATCTTCATCACCAGGCGCGTACGCAGTGAGGGGAGGGGGAACCCCCCCCCCCTCATTTGTTTTTTGTGTGTGCTTATGGGTGACCAAAAAAACATCAAATCCTGGACACACAAAAAAAAATGTGCTCTTACCCCCCCCCCCCCCCCCCCGCCTGTCATTGCTAACTTTTCGGCGCAATTTACCCCCCCCCCCCTGCGAAAAAAATCCTGCGTACGACCCTGTTCATCACTTACTTCATCTAATTTTGCAATTCCATCTCTTAGATTTTTTTTTCAATGATTAATATGATAACGTTATTATATCGTTTTTTCAGACTTTCATTGAAATTAGAAATTTGAATTGTGTTCAAAACTGCGAATTCATTCTTCAATACATCTCCCAATTTCTTTATCTTGAAACTTAATTTTTTTTTTCTTCACCTACTTTATCTGCCCCCTCTAATTTTGTAATTCCACCTCTTTAAAATATTTTTTTTTTCTTTTTTTTTTCTTCAATTATTAAAATACAAACTTAATTTTATCATATATTTTTTTCTCGGAATTGCATTTAAATTGGGGAGGGTGTGCATTACGAAGGCGCGTAACGATGTTTAATATACGCGATGTTTTGGAACTTTGGTGTTGATTGACATGACTCGCCTCATTTCAGATAAGCAATCGACCTATACAGTGCGCCTAGCTCAGAAAACACGAAGCCGAGAATTGTCGATGTTTTATCATAACTCAATCATAGTTATAATTAATAAATGACACATATTGGTAAAGCTTAGATCCTCTTCAGTGATGCAACTCTTATGCATATTTCACGAATGAGCGATTAAAAAACAATTTGAAGACATGCAGGGTCCTATGGTAAGGCATTAATCCTCATTACCAGGTCCCTCGGAGAGAACCTAAAGCCGTCGGCCGTCTGGTTGCTTTCTTAGCAGTCAGGTAAAATAACCACCACCACAGGGTATCAAAAAGTCATTTGGCGAACGGTATCTGAATTTCTAGAAAATTCACTTTCTGCCCTTTCATAAATTAAACCTCGGCTCAATCAGAAAAAATGAGCCAGGAATAACAAATTTCTGTTTGTTTAAAGTAATGCTAGCACTTCCATAATTTGATTAAACGAATTCGTTTTCACTGGCTGCCTGCCGTAGCAACAAACAGAGTTATGGAAATAATGGAAATGCAAGCATTTATTTAAACAAACGGAACTTTGTTATTCCTGTACAAATATGTGTCATTTATTCATTATAATTTTGATCAAGTTATCATAAAACATTGATAATTCTCCGTTTCGTTTTCTCATGGGACGCACTAGCTAAAGAAAGTGTTGATTAAAGAAAGAGAGATAGTACGTGGTAGAGAGATAGTGGTAGAGAGAGATTAGAAAGGTGACTGGAAGAGAGAGAGAGGGCTAACAAAAAAAGGGGGGGGCGTAGAGAGGGCCTGGAGAGAAAGATAACAGATAAGAAAGGAAATTGTGTTGATTTGAGATACAGATGTATTACCCGAATTAAAAAGGAGTATTGTTGGATCTGTTTTTGTTATCATAACAAAAATTCTCCTCACCATTGTCCAGTCGCAACAACGACATACAAATAATGACAGATTTATTATGACATTCCCGCCACAAGTCGGCGCTCTCAGAACAAAGGCGTAGGCTGACAATCGTAAATATCGCGGTCTGTCTGAACTTGGGTGTTGATTACAACATTTCCAAGATACGGTTATCAATCCAACTTTCTAGTACTTCATTTGTGCCTATTCATTGTACCCACGAAAAGATCGATAGAAATGTCAGAATGTCTATTACCCTTCCCAGGGTTCAATGGGCGGCACAGGGTATGCAAATTATAAATTGTTCTAGCGCTGCTGGTCGCTACAACTACAAGGCGGCCACGGCCTACGTATCACTCATTCAAAATCAGTTTTCATAAGACCAAACCTCCAAAATAGATGACATATAAAAAAATACATAACAGTCTCGTAGAGTAAATATTTCAAAGAACAAAACATGCATGTCTACGTCCCTCTACCTCTCTCTCCCTCTCTCTCTCTCAACCTCAAACTACGGACCTCTGCATTGATTGCGATTCACACAGTTTTCATTTCATTTACATTTCATTTAAAATGGGGAAAGCCTTCCGATCGCTGGAAGGAAGGAATTTTACTGGCAAGGTGATTAAACGAGTTCTTGCCCCTCTTAGCGCGACAAATAGAAACCCTATTCCTCTCAAGAATTATGTAATATTATGTAAGATAATCCCCCCATTCTTGCCCCTTTCATTGGGGACCCGTTTGGGACGCTCGCGTTCTCTAAACAAAGGAGGGTACGCGATGAATGGAGAAGGTTTTAATCCCCCATACCTTACGCGTTAAGGACAGTCGCGTTCTGCTAACAAAGGAGGGGACGCGATCGTCCTGAACCCGGACGAACGCGAGTGATAATAAAGTTGCCTTCCCTAAGTCATGTGCTTCTAAAGTTCCAAGACCTTAATGTTGGTTTTGCATTAAATCACAGAAAAATATTTGTATGGTAAAGCGGCTTACTATATGTACTTACATCTTCATCAACCCTTAATAAGCAATTAAAACTGCCTGAAAGTGCATATTGTAGTTTTGGACAAAGCAATTAAGGCGTGTCTTTCACTTGAATTCAACTTACAAAGGAAGGCATTGCCATTGCATATTTCTTTAAATCTAATGTTTTTGTGTATGCGTTTTAATATTTGGAAGAAAAACAATTGGAGTAGGATCACACTATGAATGAATATCTTTTCTGTTATAATGTTTATTTAAAGATATCATTCATCTCTTCTTTCCCTATCTTTTAGTTCTTGTATGTGAATCAAGCTTTTGCACCAGCACCAGACCAAGAAATAAGAAATCTCTTTGAGGTAAGTATGATGGGGGTCGGGTGTCCACACATTAAACGATCATAAATGCCTTCTCTTTTGCCTGTGGATTTAATGAAAATATTCGGCAAAAAGCACTAACCATCATGAATATTTGTTCTTTATGATATCGTCCAACAGAAGTAAAAATTTATGAAATATTTAAAGTTGAATTGATAGAGTAGATTTTGTATGTGGATATGTGCTGAGTCTGAGATCTTGTGAGTCTTGGAACGTAGAGCATGAAGAAAGGCTGAAAGTCTGCATGTTCCTTTTCAAAAGTCAGCTGCAGACTTGAGTCAAATTCAAGTTGCTAAGGATTTAGACTCTGCTTGGGTTCATAATGTAAAACAAATTTCCAGGTTTCATTTATCTGTAGATTCTGACCCCAAATTGATCAACACGACTCTCTCCTTCTGAATTTCACTCCATCCATTTTTCTCTTTTGATCTTACAAAGTTATTTCTTTATTTCTTGCAGTGTTATGGTAGCGATGGCAGGCTTATACTCCACTACTGCACCAGTGAGGCATGGGGTTGATACTCTCCACACACAACGCAGACTGAGATATTGCAATGATACATAAAATAACTATTCAATACTGCATTTACTGTCAACTCGGAAGCTTTCACTTGCATGAAATGTTCGCAAATTTTGCGAATGATTCAGACTTGTGAAATCTCATGCCACATAACCATTAAATCCCACTGATACATCACTGTATTGTTTTATTGTGCGATTAATTTTTTTGCTTTGAAAATGGCCATTGTTAAAGAATCTTGAAAAATAGCATGTTGCACAAGTTTCTGACTTTACAGTAAATGGATGAATTTGTTATCATTTCAACTATTTGAGAATATGTATTGTTTGAATTTGGGCCTACGTCTTGGTGGACAGGTGAGTGCCATATGTGGTATTCTAGCATCAAGATAAAATGGTATGTAATGTTGACAGCAACATTGCTGGTATTCACTAGACACATGTTACGTCCAGAAAAGTAGACTTTTAACTTGTGCTGATCTTTCTCTGTCTCTTTGTCTCTTCTCTGTTTTTAAGGTTTGTACAAGAGGAGAAGTTCTCCTGTTATATTGACATTCGATTGGACCAAATAATTTGTATTTAATGGATCATTTCTCATTGGTATTGCAATGCCATCACTATGTTCTGACATCCTTTTGTTGTAACATGGGCAACAACAGGCTAAACTGTGTTACAAAGCGGTCCATATAAAATGCCTCATATATTGAGCTTTTATACAGTGTTGAACTAAGGGATATCAGAACATCATCTTGAACATTAAAGGTAAATCCTGGTTATGGAACACAACATAGACCTTTATTTTTGTCAACTGCTTGTTTGATTATGCTTCATGCGTGCTGATATTATAATGCAGACATGGGATGTAAACACGTTTGCAGATTGCAAATGAGATAAGCTATAAAGATATTGGCCGTTTTTTATAAACGTGTACCAACTTGAGTCTAGGTTCAAGCGGGTAGATTTAGTCCTCCAATGTAAAGTTCCTTATTCCTGTAAAAGCTACCATAGTTCTGTAACTAAATGGACAAGCTCAAATCGTTTCATGGAAATGATGCAAACAACTTCTCATTCTCATTCCATGACTGGATTTATTTTGTCAATATATTTTGTTACAGAATTAAGCCTTAAAAAAGATGTTGTATTGCCCTTTAGATGCCAAAAATTCGGTTTAAAATCCTTCTTTTTTTTCACTCCCTCTTTTGGCTGATATTTCTCAGGTTTTTTTCTTCTATAAAAACGGTTAAAAAAAAGGGCAATACAACATCTTTTTTTTTAGGCCTTGCAGTGACTTGTTCAGAATAAATATTTTGACACTTGGCAGATTAAAGACATCGAGAACAGTATTGTATAATTCATGATTGAATTTTTCACCCACTAGATGCTGAATGATTCATGTCTCTTATTTCAAACTTCAGTATATTTTATCCCTCTTTTCCTTGAATGTATAATTGTACACTTGGGCCTCGTCTTATAAGAGCTGTTTGCGATTGATATGAATCACAACTACATGTATATACATAAGGGATAGGGGACTGCAAACTTGCGATTGATTTGGATCAATCGCAACTCTTTATAAGACAAGTCTGGATTTGATGAGAGCCAGAAGGGTGTTGTCTCTTTGTAAAGTGCTATAAGTCAATGTCCTTCTTGCTCTTGACAGAAGATATGAAATTCATGATTCGTAAATCTATCTGCTACTGATTTTTTGGACACCTTTTTTTATGGATGTTTAGGTGTCTAAAAATGATACATGTAGTATGTTTATTTTCATATTTCCCTTATTGTTAAATCATGTAATATTTTACAGCCATGTGCACTTGTACCATTGCAACTCACTTTTAAAATGAGCAAAATTTAAGTGATAATTCAAATTTGATTAGATAATGATTTATCATTTGATCATGGATACCTTTTTTGTCATATTTCTTTGCTTCGTTTTGTGGAAGCATTTATGTATATTTGAAATGATAATAAAGCACTTATTGTAAATATTTGTGTGTCACTGTTAGTTATAAATAGTTTAGTGTAAACATGTAGCAGTGGTCCAACAGTAGGGTTGACATTTCTCCTGGCTTGATATTGTGAATGATGTAGGATTAGGGATCGAGTTGCAGCTTGGGTCATTGTTGTTGTTGTTGTTGTTGCCGTTGTTGTTGGGGTTGGGTGTAATGTGCAGGTTAAATTTGGATACAGGGTTACAACAGGATAAAGGGATGTTGCAAGATTGTCACCAGAGCATGTGTTCATATACAGTTTCATTAATTTTCTAATCATTGTTCTTGGCTTACGCATGGATTAAAACTGTATTGCGTATTAAAACAAAAGGATTATCACCTATGAGAAACATGAAAAAATAAATCAAATATTACGCTTTTTCACACAGAGAGAGAGAGAAAGAATAGTTCCCTTCCTTTTGTTTGTTTGATGTCTCTTTCATTTCCTTGTTAGAAAACAAATTGGGACAAGTTTCAATGATAGCCCAAAAATGCTATAGACAGTACCTTTCCATAGATTTCAACAGCAAAATTGATATAAAGACAACTAACAAATGCATTCAGGTCCATGAAACAAAAGTTTTTATTTATTAAATCTGTCATAATATGTGCAATTCATGTATCTTACAAACATTTCATAGGTATACTTTCTTACAGAAGTTCACACAAAACTTAAGAGTTCAGTAAATGTCAGTGTAATGTATATATAGCATGTGTTCATACAATTTGTAGAATGCGTTCATGTAAATAGACAATTGAATTCATACAAATATTCTAATCTATGACTGATACATTTAGAATGCCTTAGAAATATATACAACAGTAACTTCAAATTATACAGCTAGGAATGTTTTTATGGTTTATATTGGGTTACATAGAAGAATAACCACCTAGTTATTTTCTTGATTTTGCTTCAGATAAATAAACTATTCACACCTCCATTGAAGTCCATAAGTTTACAATGTGTTATACGTACTAGAGTACTTATATACCAATATTCCGAAATATGTAAATAAAATGTCATTAACAATAGGAAAACGCCACATTTTGCTTTTTGGTGACAAACCTCAAAATTTCAAAATTTCTTTAATGAATAAAACATAAGATATAATTTTCAATATTATCTCTCTTTCAGCATATCTTTATTAAAAAGAAAATTACATGGTTCGTATTCTTAACACCAAATTCAAGTCTGGAATGAAATACAAATCATGTCCACTTCTATATCTAAATCAAAGAAACAACTATGTGTCACTTGGTCAACACGACGGGACCAAATCAAGGTGCAAATCAAGCAGAAATATCATGAGGGCGACATAAATAAATTTATGGCTGGACGGATCATTCATATTGCCCCGTCAAATATATCTCTTTCCAAGGTTCGGTACAAATCAGTTATATAATTTCATTTTGATCAAGGTTTCAAGATTTGTGAGTCAGGACAAAACGTATTATTTAAATATCCAAAAGAAACATTTCATTAAAATCTCTTGGGGGGGGGGGGGGCTCAGTATGCAATTAATTATTATACTAGTTTGTGAGTCGAGGGGGGGGGGAGCACATGCAAATGATCCTATCCAAAGCATAGATAAATGGAAAAAGGAAACGGACGAAAAATGTTGACAGAGAAAGATTTGATTTTCGTCGAGACTTTTAAAGTTTATTATTACAAAATATTGGGCCATTGAATTGACTTCCAGTCTTCGTAGCATAGTCTGTAGTCATTTTTCTCAATTTCTTCCTCTAGGTTTCACTACACAATAATAATATGCATGTCTTATCCATTGAGTTACACAAAAAAGCCAAAGTCTTATTTGACTTAAAGCCATATACAATCAACAACACAGACAAATCTGCACATGAAAATACAGAATAAATTAACGTCAAATGCTACCTTTTTTCTTTTTATTCAAACCAAAATATTTTTCCCATTATGATATCATATCTGCCAACCTTTTCCAACAAAAAGTTTGAATATCAGAAATCAAATTAGGAATACAGTCTATTTTTTATATTTTTACACAGAAGTTTACATAACAAGAGGTGATAACAGCTTCCTTTCCTAGAGTCTTTTATCTCAAAACTTTCAGTATTTCATAATCATTGCCCTTTGACAGTTTCCAACAAATTGATCCGATTTTAATGTTTCTGAAACCGTTTATCTATATAATTTGTATGTAATTTTTTGTCTGGCAATGACAGAAAAATATATAAACACAACTCTCAAAAAGCTGGCAGGGGTAAATTGTCACAAACGGGGAAAAGATGTCTCTTAAACTCTTTACTTTCTCCCTTATAGATCTATTATACCTGAATCCCTTTTCACAGTAGCATATCTTCAGCACTACCTACAAAAGGATCAAATTTGTGCTGCTATCTTCAATCTTCAAAGACTGCAGTTGGAGGGGTACTTCCAGCGAAAGATAGCACCATCTTTGCTGACACTGATGATGTACTTTTGATGAGGGCAGATGCGCAGGCGCTTGATTTCACTGCAGTGTCCAACACCAATGCTGGTTACAACACCATTTACATAATCCCATACCTGCAGAAACAGAGAAGAAAATAAGCATGTATTATTGTGTATCACAGTGATTCCCACTGTTTAAATCACTAAAAAGAAACATGTTTCCCTGAAAAATTGCAATATTTATATTTTTTTTTGTATAGGAACATTAATTGAACGAAGATCAGACACTTCTTGGTGAAACAGAACAAATTATAATGAATAGTTGAGAAATTGCCCATTGTGATGGGGAACTTGAGCTCAGAAGGGAGATGAGCAAGTCTCACATTTTATATTTGATGAAAACATTTTTTTTAAACACCCTCCAGATGTCTTGCAAAGGTATCTGACATTAATACTGTGATAGGTACAGTAGAAAGGTGTTATTCCAAGCACATCGAGACCTTGAAAAATACCTTATCATATCAGGTAAATTGTTTTAGAGGGGTAAAACAAATACAAAAGAAAAACAAGAGAATCATTCCACAGATAGAACTTAATCCTAAAGATGATCAAAATGTTTTGACGCGACTGTACCTTGATAAGAGCATCATCACCACCGGTCACAAAGTTACTGCCATCACTGGACATGTCCATGGCATTGATGGCGCCTCCCTTAGACCCTTCCACCTCACGGATCTGGCTGGAATCCCCGGCCTGCCAGTATGCAATCTGAAATCAAGACAAGGTAAAGGAAGATGGGTGAATGATTTATCGCATTCAGAACAGGCATTGTTTACAGGGATTGGGTATCTTGGGTATCTCAGATTCTGATACAAAATCCTGGATTTACCTCATGCTGCGATGATAATTATAAATCTTGAGGCCAGTCAACTTGATCGCCTGTCTAACTATCAAGATATTTATGATTGGAAATCAAATTTTCAAAATTTGTTTAACAGTTTTTATAACACTACAGGCTATTGTACCGGTATAGTAAAACCGGTCACTCAAAGATTTTTACTTTTTTGAGGCACTTCGTGATCATTTTGAATTTTTTTAGGGCTTCAAAAATACACCATCACAGACACTGATATCACATAGGGCCGTGCATCTCAGATTTAAGTTGTTAAACGATGCCTTTAAGGTTTAATTGTACCATTTAGGACAGGCATTGTTAAAGGTTGAAACTAATCAGCACTACTTCAAACTGGCAACACAAAACAAGGGCAACTGTCTTGAATTGATAATTTAGGGATCAGCAAATGAAATATACAGTGTTTGTATGTTAGACTTTGCATGGCATTTTAATCGTCTTTTCTTCTCTCTACCCAGGTTGGTAAACTCCTCATTCTTACCTTCCTGTCTGTTCCGCATGTAATGATCTGGCTCTGCTCAGCACTGTAGCACACACACCTGAACAGGGTGTTGGCAAACACAACCTGGCTCCGTACAAATTTACTGCAGGGGGGAAAAAGAAGCAGAAAAGTTATTTGGGTATTAAAGTGCAATCTTTTTTTGTTCCATACATTATCAACCTTATATCTGATGACTGTATCAAGCAGATAGATCTACTAGAGCTTAGATTAGACAAAATTTCAACTAAAATGATATTTTTAGGTCAATTCATGTTCATAACTCCATAATGAAAATCAATAATACTTGGTAAAGTATGCTAGGATTATTCCTTAGAATTGAAATATGGTATGTGCATAAAATTTTTGCCGGAGCTAAAGCTGCAATAAAAAATTCCAAAGATCTGTGAATCGATGCCCATTGGGATGATAAATTCCAATTCCAATATCAAGTAATATGCATTATATGGAATAGTATTATCATGGTATTCCTTCCAAAATCTAGTCATGATCAAGTTGTGCGGTGCGCAGTTGTCTTTGGACTTACTGGAGATCCCAGATGATGCAGGTTCCATCGGTGCTGGCGCTGACACACTCCGTGTCGGAATGGTTGACTCGGACAAAGGCTACCACACCCTTGTGCTCTTTCAAGGTCTGCCGGAGCTTCTGCTCTCTAGGGAAGATATCCCAAACACGCACCTATCAAGAGAAAAGAATTGGGAATCTGTAAAGCAGTCGCGAAGCTTGGACAGCATCCCCACAAGGTTGGGGGGGGGGGGAGATAGAGAGAGAGAGAGAGAAAATGAGAGGAAAGGGAACAAGAACAGAAGAATACAACCTGGATCTTTACGATAAAACAACTTAAATAAAACAACATTAGTCAGTTATAAATTTTTCTACCTCAAATTTTCAGAAAACCAGCCCTGATTGTATCGTAGAAAGCAATGATGGTATGAATTCTCACATGATTTTCAGATTACCTTTGATATTCTGCGAAAAAAAGAATAACCATCAGGGGGTCTTTCACAAAACTTGTCATAAGTGACAAATGACAGATTTGTTATAAGCTACTGAAATCCTTGCTTCTGATTGGCTATCAGCAGATTTGTCACTGATTTTTGTCATTTGTCATTGAAAAAAGGCTTTATGGACGGGCCTTGATATGATTATTAGAATAGCATACCTAACCCATTTGAGAAAGCAAATATAGATTGAAGTATCAAAAATATATTGTGATAAAAACCCAGTCTTCTTACTTGACCCTCTCCTCCTCCACTGATGATGCGCTTGTTATTACTGGTGACTGCCAGTGCCGTCACTGCTTTATTATGGGCGTCGGCAATCTCATACAACAGCTTCCCAGACTGGGGCAGGAAACTACGAATCTTGTTATCGTTCCATGCTAGGGTAGAGAGAAGAAAGGAGGGATGAAGATGACTTGAAGAGAGATATTTTCTAGATTAGCATCTTAATCAGGTTTATCATTCTCAATCATCATCGGCATCATCGATCATCATCAACATCACTACCTCCAGTGACATCACTATGACTACCACCAGTAACGTCATCCCAATCAATAATGCCATAATCATCATCTTCATCATAATAATCATCATAAATACTATGACCATCATCACTACTATTATTATTAGGATCAACAGCGAGGTCATAAAATTCTGATTCACTACCTGAGTGAATGTGAATTTGTTTTAATGAAAGTATATGATTGAAATTGATGACTACATGTAAGGCTGTACTAGTTTGGCTAGGAGGTATTAGACCACCCAGGAAGGTCACTGACAGGTGGCTATCTTAGCAACTCAGTTCTCAATTAACGTAAGAAAAAGAGGATCATGGGGGACCAATGGCCACCAATTATGCATTGTTTTCTATATAGAGGGAGCAAGTAGCTACAAGTAGTACAGTGGGCTTTTGATAGCAATTTTTTTTTTTTTTACCAAAGCCTTTTGATTTTCAAAATGGTGCAGGCGTCTTACCAGAAACGATGCTCTTGCCATCAGGCATGATGCAGACAGCATGGCACTCCATGTTAGGAACGTTGATACGCATGAGCTCTTTACAGGAAGCTGTCTCCCAAACCCTGATGTCATTCTTTGAACTTGTCACAAAGAGCTCAGAGCAACCTCTGGTAGGTACACAGAATGAAACAATGCAATTAGGTTATAATTATAATAATGACAATAATAATAACCAATTTACATTAAAGGGAGTGTAGATTGGCCATCTACGTTTTCTTTTGGACAACTGCATTGTAAACGAATGGACTTGATTAACGGTAGTCAGCGACTCAATCTCTACATGGTCAGCATTCGCGAAACAGACTGAAGTTCTCCTCACGCTCCGGTTTCGGATATGAGGACCAAAGAAATTGTGGAGGTCAAAAATACGTATCTACACATTTTATCATTCTTGTAATACTCGCCATTTTTTTCTTCCCTGAAGTGCCCCATGCTTATTATTAACAACAATGTTTTTATTCAGTGACAAGAATCGTGTTTTCATTCTAGCAGTAGTGAGTAATTCTCTCATCCCACAGCAGAGGAATCATAGCAAATCTCGGTCCCATTTAAAAAGAGTTACGATTGATTCATATTGTTGCAACTTATCACAACTCTGTACTACGGAGATAGGGTTTTGTTTGCAGCTGATCGGAAGATGGCAAATCGATTTGAATCAATTGCAACTCAGATATTAGATGAGACCCTGGGTCGGTATTCAATTCAATGCTTAGAATAAGTAAGAAATTTACTAAGTAAATTACTAAGCTAGGTACTTTACTTATCTCCTATTCAAAACGCATTTTTAGACTTTTACATAGGTAAGACAAAGTCTAACTAAAATACTTACCGATAAACATTGTGACATCACACGGTCAATCAAAAGTAATGCGCAATTAATACGTCGCAACAAATGCGCGCTTATGTAATTGTGCGCAGGTTATGATATTGCGTTAGAAAACCATATGCCTGCCAAGCAAGGCCTCCAAATAATTGGCCTAAGTCTGGTAGAGAGCTGCATCTTAAATTTAGGGTAAAATACTTAGCCAAAAGTTTGAATTGAATACCAAAATTGGCTAAGTATTTTATCTAAGCAGAAGACTAAGCAAAACACTCATATTTCAAACGTAAGTATTGAATTGAATACCGGCCCAGAGAGGTACTTCACAAAGACTAAGATCAACTTTAAGTTGGACTTAACAATGGCAGGCCATTCATGCTACTGGTCGCTCTCACCATTGGTCTCTCAATTTTGATCTTTAGATTTATTTTGTTTTTCCTTCAATAATGAACTATCAAAAAAATGTTAAATCTGTAGATTTGTGACCATGATTTGTACGTCCCTTGAGAGACATGGCATGAATGGCAAGTTTAACTTAAAGTCGATCTTAGTCTTTGTGAAACACCCCCCCCCCCCAGGACTTCTCCAGAAATCTTGAGTTTCTGTTTTGAGGGTGATAGTACACTTACTTTGGGAATGCGATATCATTGACCTCTTCATAATGACATGTTCTGATCATTTCATAGGTGAATTCTGAGAAGTTGAATCGATAGATATGTGAATTGGACGTCCCGACAAAGAACTGTGAAGAAAAGGAAATACAAAACAGGCATATTAGTTTAAAGTGCAACACAAGGAGCTGACTCTCAGAAACATATCTATTCAACCACCTTTAAAGTGTTTTTTGCATGTCGATTCTCTTCACTGATCCTAGAAAAAAAACTATTCCATAATGAACTGTGTCAATTATTCTCTCTAAAAAAATGTAATTTAATATGCAACCACTTATTGCACCAGCTGTACAAAAAAAGAGATCTACTTCTTCATCAACAACCAATATAATTGTAATTTATGATATTTTCAGTGCCAGCAAACGGGAGAGGTGCTTGAAATTATCTGATTTTTCTGAAACTTTCACTAATCTCTTTGTCTCATATTTCTACTTTTAATGAAAGCGACTCATTTTCAGAGTGGACATTCCATTCAAGGATTACCCCAAAGTGATACAAAGTTTACTTATGTCTACATTAATCAGTTTCCCTCCTGAAATTGGCAACAATTAATCTGATCTGACCAGTTTGAAAGAAAATTACAAAATGAACTCAAAAACTTGGCTAGTTAATTTTAATAAATTAAACGTTTTTTCAGCACACATTGCCAATTTAGAGACTTTAATCACTAATTACAATTGAATTGCTCCAATTTGAGAATAGCATAACGTACTACAATGGAAATACAATCAAATTTTCTGTCACTTTTGCTCTTTCTGCTCATTTATATGTGTATTCCTAGCATTATGAATCAAAAGATAATGCAATAATGTCACTAAAATGAGACACTGTAGTGCTGTTGGTTAATAAAAAGGACATCTTACCTGATGACCTTGTCCTCTTAGTGTAAGGGAAGTAATGTGCCCAGCCTTGTCAATCTTCTTCTTCCTACAATGATAATGAAGACAAAAAGAGACTTGGTTAAAAGGAATAATTCAATTCTTAAACCAAGGATTAGCATTTATGAAGTGCATGCTGGCAACCATATCTAGATAAATAATCCTTTTAATCCGCAAATGTTATAAGATATAATTTATCTACATACTGTATATTATTTAATCCACTGAAACCTACTGACCACATGCTCCTATACACAATGGCCCGAATTCGCAAAGGAGGTTTGTCGACAAACCTTGGTTTTCGTAAATCATATGACGCGTTTTACGCGTTTTTTACAAACCTGGTTTGTAAAGAACAAAGGGAGGTTTGGCGAAACAAAATGAGGTTTGAGCTCAAACCTTGCTTTGTGAATTCGGGCCAATGGGTTTGGAACATAAAAATGAAAGAACTATTCTACTATCCAATCGTATATATGCTTTATCAAAGTAAATACAATTCATTTACTGTACATTGATTGATAAGTGCTTTGTCCACACACCATATCTGCACTTCATGGAATATTCCATGCAACTACTCGCCCCACCTATACCATCCCTTAATAGCTTTCTGAGCTCTGCTAAGGGGATTACTCCATCGAGTATGAAGTACTTTTTGATTTTGTTAGTGGTCATTAACGAACCAACGGAAATGAAAAAATTCAGTAGTCAACAGGGCCCCATCTTACAAAGAGTTGATCAATCGCAACTATGTACATAAGAGATAGGCGACTGCAAACTTGCCATTGATTTGGATCAATCGTAACTCATTGTAAGACGGGGCCCAGGTCAAAATTGTATCTTGAAGGCGGATTCTTCAAATTGGCAACGCTACTCACTTGATGACCTTGAATTTGTCATCGATGAACTTTGCGTGGGCCACAGTGCCGTCCCCAGTGCCAAGGAGGAAGGTACCGTCTTTGACGAGGACCAGCGAAGTCACGCCCATCCCAAAGAGGTCCTTCTTGGGACCGTAGCAGCTGAGCATCTTAGTGCTGGCAATGATCCTCAGGATGTCGCCTGTGGTGGTGGCGCAGTAGAAGTAGTCGTCCTCGGGTGCAACCTACACAAGCCATCAATTAGGATGATCATTATAAATCAGTATTTCAATAATGATAATTTTTTGCATTTCAAATTGAGTGGAGTACCAAGTCATGGTACAGTAGTTCTTTCAAGAGACTCTCGATCAACGGTAGAGGGATTGTATCTCTGCCCATTGCATATGCTCTTTAATAAACAATGCATTTTATCAATTTGCCACTCTTGACCAAGGTGTGACCTGGCAGAAATTTGTTTTAGATATAAACAGTGCATCTAGCAACCCCCCCCCCCCCCCCAAAAAAAAAAAGTTCCAGTTATCAGCCTTTTCTTCTTTCAGCTATTCCAAATAACTATTCATTTTATATTCACATTCATTCATGCATTCATCAAAAAAAAAAGTTATGCTTTAGGAATCTTGCATAAATTTTACAGATCAGCTCATATGTGACCAAATGAATTCTTAAAATATTTTGTTTCATTGCTGCAAAATATTACAACACTTAAAAATCAGCCAAGTCATATGAAAGAATATCTTACATTATATCGATAACACTGATATGTCAGTCCAAGGCCTATTCATTTCTGCTTAATATTTTTCATATAACTGCCTTCGTATGAATTTCAAACTTACCACAATGCTCTTGACAATTCGTTTGAGCTGTCCCAATGATACATCAGTAGGCCTGATCTTTCGATTCTCCACGTCTAGATCCCAAACACGCAATGTTCGCCTGAAATATCATGTTCAAAGAGATGGAATGAGCATCAGATATAGATCTGTAAATCTGACCCTCATTTGTCTCATTTGCAAGGCTAGATACAGAATAAACAGTTAAACAAGAGCTGTATTCTTCTTTTTTTTAGATAGATTGGAAGGGTTGATCTTGCAATTCCCAATGGCTAGATTCCAGACAGGCATCTAAAACTAAATTACAATGTCAAATGGAATGTGTAATAACATTAGATATCTGTGATACCGATGCTCAACTATCTAATTAGCATGCTAGATATTAGGTACCAAATAAAAAGGGCAGGCAGTGACGCTACAATACATGCGCATCTGAAAACATGGATGACGCAATGTTAAAGCGCATATTAAAATTGCGGCCTTAACCGTAAAATGGTGTATTCAGGTAACCGCCAACATTTCAGGAGGGTACCCTGGTACCCACAATTGATACAACAGAAAACATCTGCTAGATCTACTATTATTTTTAGATCTAAATGTTCCTATAAACATGCTTAAATTTGACAATTTAGAGCAGCCAAATACATTTAAATATACAAGCATACCTTGTTTAATATCGGGGTATCTCATATGAAGTTATTTTTTATCCATGTTTGGTGATGTTTAGTGCTATTATCATGTCTCTGAAAGTAAAAAGCTATGCAAATTTGTGGCTTAGATCAATATGACACTCAAATAGCTTCACTCAGTGAGTACGTCCCACGTTTAAAATTAGTACTCTGGGCCCCCGTTGCACAAAACTTACCATTGATAGTAACTTTGTAATCATTGGTAACTACCATGGAAACCTTGATTTTGATTGGCTGTATGAGCCCTGTTACCATGGAAGTTGCCATTAATGGTAAGTTTCATGCAACGGGGCCCTGATTGGTGGTGAACAACCATGCATGTACAAATACTCACTCTCCGCCTGAGAAGAATAAGAAATCGCTCTGGTTGGCTGCAGCAACGCAGTACGTAGTCCCTGCACTCTTGACAGCGGCCTCTGATCCGCACACTGCTTCCTTCTTCATCACATCCCAGATCACGATAGCGCCATCGTCTTGACCTCCCAGAGACACAAGGTAGAGGTCATTTGGTGAGAAGGCCAGGTCTTGAACTTTGACCTTATGCAGGTCCAGCTTGCAGTGGACGGAACGTTTCTCGTAGTCCCAGACAATGATCATGGCCTGCAAACGATTGAAGACAAAAAATGCTGAAGTATTTTTAATTTTTAATTTCAACGTCCCTTAAAAGTATGGGTGTACTTTAGGTACTAAATATCCCAAAACTCCTTGTCAAATTCGTCTTCTGGAAGTCTTCTGCATGAGATGGAGATACAATTAAGTCACAGTGTTTGAGTGACCCTGTAGGAAGTCTTGTATCTTAGAGTTGATTTCCTCAATGAGGACAGGATTGACAGCGATTGACAGGGGATAGACGATATGACTCTTTGTCAGATTTGTCTTCTGGAAGAACATTCGGGGGCCATTTGCAGGCATATTTCAGTTGTCAGCCATTAAATCTGCCCTACAAGTACAACTCTGAGGTATTTTGTTGCTGTTGATTTGCTTCAGGTTGCATTTCGTCAAAGATAAATGATTGGGCCTACGTTGTGAATCAAAATTTATGTGAATGTAATGTTTACATGTTTGATGGAGTCTTAGGAGTAGTGTTGGGTCCAACCAATCGTCACCAGGGGGGTGTTTCACAAAGACCCCAAGTCGAACTTAACTTTATGAAAAGCCATTGTTAGCCTTAAAATGAAATATATTCAAAGGCGAAAATTCAAGTATTTTAGACTTTTTATAAATTCCACATCAAGAAAATTAAATCTCCTTGATAATAGAAAATATGAATGATTTGAATCAACATTTCTTGCCTTTAAAAATAACTTTTACAAAATATTTTCATAGATTTTCATAGATGCTAATGGCTTTCCATAATTTTTAAGTCCAACTAAGAGATAAGTTCAACTTAAAATCTTTGTGAAACATATCCCCCAGATCATTTATTGTAAAATCTGATGATGAACAAATCCCTTGCCATACCTTGAAACCCATGTGAGTCTGCTGGCCGGATGCTATGAAGCGTCCACTGCGTGAGATGGTGACACAGGTCACAGTGTTTGTGTGACCCTGTAGGAAGTCTTGCTTCTTAGAGTTTAAATTCTCAACGATGACGGTGTTGCCAAGGGGATAGACAATATGATTCCTATCAGGGTGCACTGATAAGCTGCCCTGGCTTGATCCTGAAGATGGAAAAACAAAGGGAGAAGATGGCTTGTAATCAAAGAAACCATTTAATCACATCCATAATGAATTTCTAAGCTTTTATAACAGTGATGTGTAACAATAACATGCTTATTTTCTGAATTCTACCTTTGGCTTTAGGCTTAGTTAAGGCTTAAAATATTCACATATGTTGCAGACACAAATCGCAGTTCCCTGGAAGAATCCTGGATCGATGAACAGGCTTAGACCTACAACATCGTGTATTAAAGTAAAGTTAAGTAAAGTAAAGGTACACGTAAATCACTACAAATTACCAGCAATGTACCAAACTACCATGGGGGTTTTCGGAGTGTACTGAACAAAGAAAAAAAACGTTTGAGAAGATCTTTATTTTTTGGGAGGCATTTCGTCTGCGTTAACAGGGATATCCTTGTTTATGCGGATAAACAACGTGATGGACATGTGCCCTATATAAAAAGCCACCATTATTATTATTATTATTCTCTCTCAGTCAGACTCGACCAGCGCCCACTCAGTGACTCACCGACTGCTCTCAATCTCACTTCTCAGTCATGCATGCCACACACATTCACAGACGCCATTATTTCAAATTCAATCATACAACTACAAGGTGGCCGACTATTACTTCTCATAATCAGATAACGGTTCTACATTTTCATTTTCTTTCATTTACATTGCCAAATGTCCTAGGCCATGCCACGCCATACCAGGCAGCGCATGAACGCTGCGCACCAACACCCGAGCCCTGACATTGCCCTGCTGTTATGCGGCGAGGGCCGGGTCACGTCGGGGTGCTGAAACCACGGGCAACGACTTACCATTGAAACCGATTGTGGACATCAATTCAAGGCGATCAATATCATCTGAATTATTCTCCTCTCCACCATTCACTGCTTTCCGCTGTTGGTCACCCATGGTTTATGGTTATTTCCCCTCAATAATTCAAAATTAAACGTTTTTCACTGTTTTTCGTCTGGTCATTCAAATCAAGTCGAACTGATTGACGGCAGTTGCTATGACAGCCTCTTCCGCATATTTGGCGCAGATGGCGCTCTTTAATTTGCAGCAGGGGCTCTCGTCTTCTGCATCATGTTCTGCATTCTTCCAGCGCTGAACTTTACGTGAAAAAAATATTATTCATCACACTTTCTCCCCACAAAATTTAGCAACATAAAAGTTGATGCACCTTTGTCTAGAAATAATATAGATCCTTTAGTGATTATTATGCATATACTTGTACATTGACTACCTGTCACTCACTTTACACAAGACAAAATGGAACTACGTCTCGATTACCCCTCTTCCTTAATTTAGGGTGGTAAAACATTGATATGATGGTAACTCTACCATGGCAACATCACTCAACAGCCAATCAAACCACAGTTTCCATTGAAGTTAATTACCATCAATGCTTAGTTATGCAACTGGGCCAAGACCATAGCTTGTATTGTTACTGAAATATCACAAAGTGATAACAAAAAAGCCTATAATAATGTCAGTTGATTTGGGACCTTTGGAGAGCAAAGGAAGAAAAGAGAAATGAAAAGTAATGGAAAAGGAAAGAAAAAAAAAATGGAAGGAAAGGGATGAAAATGAATGAAAGAGAAAAGAAAGTAAATAAAGAAATGTCAGAAACGAATTGAATAGGAGAGAAAAAGAGAAAGAGGGGAACTAAACTGAAAAGTAAATGAAGGGGAAAATAAAGTAAGGAAAGGACATAAAAGAAGCAAAGAAAGAAAAAGAAAAGAGAGGAAGAGGAAAGAAAATGGAATGGAAATAGAAAAAGGCATATAAAAAAAGAAAGATAAAAGATAAAGGAAAGAATTAGAACGATATCGAAAAAGGAAGAAGAAAAAAAAACTCGAGAAAAGGCATAGCGATATAGGATGGACGAAGAACAATTAAAGAGGGAGATAAAGGGGGGAAAAAAGAGAAATAAAGAAAAATAACGAGCAACAAGGCAGCCCAAATAAAACTACATGTGTTACAGAAAACTTCAGTTTCATATCTATGTTTACAGGAGATCTAACGTCTTTAAAAAATCTAAATGGCTGAGTTTCTCCCCTCCAGTAGACCTTCGTCTCATAAGCCAACCATAATTAAGCTTAAGCAATATCATGAAAGAAAAAGTATTTTCAAAACTGAGTTAGACACGTACAATACTTGACTGCCAGCATGGGCGGAAATCCAAAGGATTATTAGAAGAAAAAACACACAGAAACAAACAAACAATAACATAATTATATGGGAAAACGAAAACACACTAGGCCTATACTATTATTTCAGCTCTCAAGTGCCATCACTAATTTAAAATGGAAACTCTCCTCGCTCGCTCGGTCACTACGCTCCCATTGGCACTGATCGATCTGTAGAGTCACATGAATTATTAATCAGTAAATTTCTGAGAACAAGAAGAATGAAGAAATTCTCGATTGCTAATTATTAAAATGTCAAGTTTTAAAATGCAATTATCACTCGGTTGCTACAAGTAGAGATACTTCAATGAATTACTGCTCGATCTGAAGAGTCATACAAATTATTAATCAGTGAATTTCTGAGAAGATGAAGAATGAAGAAATTCTCGATTGCTAATTATTAAAATGTCAAGTTGTTTTAAAATACAATTTTCACTCGGTTGCTACAAGTAGTGATAATTCAATGCCTTACAAAAATAATTTATGTTCCCCATATAGGTGTTTATCAGTTATCAGGCGCGTACGCAAGGGGGGGGGGGGGGGGGGGGGGGGGGGGGGGGGGTGGGTCTAAACCCCCCCCCCCATCCCTAATTTTTGTTTATGTGTGTGTTTTGGAGGAACCCCCCCCCCTCAATTAAAAAAAAATAAAAATAAAAAAATAAAATAAAGGGTGACCAAAAAAGGTGACCTTACCCCCCCCCCCCCGACTGAACGAAATGTCGGTCGGCCAAATTTTCGGGTGAAACCCCCCCCCCCCCCCCCCCGCTTATTCAGCGGCTGGCCGAGTCGTTGTGAAATTTTCGACGTGAGTTCAAATTTTAACCCCCCCCTCGAAAAAAATCCTACGTACGCTCCTGTCAGTTATGTTCTTTTGGGAATTACTATTGTGCTTCATATTTGTCTGTTCTTAATTTCATTTGAAGAAGTAATGTATTTGCATAAGTCTATGTTATAAGATTATTTCGCCCAACTTACAAATTCTAATACTATTTATTCATTTTGTTTTCTCTTCTTTGTTATCTATATTATTATCCAATTTTGCTTATATCCATGGAGTTAACCAAGGTTGGTTTGAAAGGAACGACAGAAGCTGACCCATACGGGGTTAATCAGTCTCTGGACCTAGGGGTGTGGTCCGGGGACCAACGAGTCGATTGCAACCAATAAATCGAACAAAATTGTTTCCCGTAATGCATTTCTTTTTCATCCTCTTCTTTTTTTGTCTCCTTCCCTTACTCTTGCTTCTTCTTCACCATTTTCTTCTTATTATTCTTCAAATCCTTCTTCTTCTCCTCCTCCTTCTTCTCTATCTTCTTCTTCTTCCCCTTCTTTTTTCTTTTCTTCCTCTTCTTCTTCTATTTCTTCTTCTTATTTTTTTTCTTCTTCTTGTCTTCCTTCTTCCTCTCTTTTTTTCCGGAATCCGGAAGTAAAAAAACATAATTAAAAGAAAACTGGTATTCAAGTATAGGCCTAGATAAAAGGCCCCTCTCTCTCTCTCTCTTCCGCTCTCTCTTTCTGTCTGTCCCTCTCTCTCTCTCTCTCTCTCTCTCACACACACACACACACACACACACGTACACAATCCAACTCTCCCCTATCTTTCTCTCTTTCTCTCATCTTTCTCTCTCTCTCTCTCTCTCTCTCTCAGTCTCTCTCTCACACACACACACACACACACACACACGCACATGTACACCCTCTCTCTCTCTCTCTGTTCGGATCATTGACAATTGGCACTATCGGGGGGAAATTAGATACTATATCGTATAAAAGATCGAGGCCACGTTGTGACTTTGAATGAGCAATATTCAGTTACGTTGCTATAATAAGAATTTTTTTTTTTAATAAGCACTGCATTTCTATTAGAGGCGCCACATAATGGCATGGTAATAAACCATGGTTATCGTCAGTAGAGATAGAGTTGCGTACTCGACATGCGGGGGCAATATAGCAGTGCGACCTAACGAGGCATATAATCCACACCGCACGCAAAGGTTTCCTTGATCAGCTCGTGCATGGTTTCATGTTTGACTTTTACTTCAGTTCTGGCTTTATCGGGGATTGTAATCATACCGTCTAGATGTTAAACAACGATTCTATCTTCATTCGTCAAAGGATACTTTGAATGTTGATATTGATTCATTCAAGGCTGGAACAAAGTTTATTTTCCATCTGATTTCTTGAATGATTCCACCATGGATTTTGTTTTTGCTTATATTTTTTGCTTAGATACACGGCGACGCATAACGGTGCCATTTATAAATCGCTATTAGAAGACGACAGGATTGCAGTTAAATACACAGACAACTCATCTTTCCTGAGCTGATTTTCGTCCTTACACTGAAGTGAAACATTTCTGTGCTTGACTACTGAGGATATTTCAAGTTTATACTAACGACATTTCGTAATGAGTAATTCTTTCTTATCGTAAAAATCCAAAAGGCTTTTTACGCTCGCCGCTGACTGTTTTATTAATGTAATATACTCGCTCGTAATTAAACTCGAGGCCGTATCAGCGTGGTACGAGCAAATTTATATCATCGAGGTTTATAAGAAAGTATAGTAGTATACCAAAAGGCAGCCAATTATTTTTTCAAGGTGTTTTTCATCGGTGCATGCACAAGGATATTGAGCTACTCACTACCATGACGACTTCAACATAGATCTTCATAAATTAAATAGCGTAATGATTTGAACTGTCATTCAAACGTGCCACGGTGTAATTCCCTAACAGAATACATTGGAAATAATAATGAGGAGAAGGTTCGTAATTTGTAAAGATTTGGTGTGAAATCTGTACGCCAGTGCTATCGTGCTATAAATTTATCTCCAGCGAGTGAGTGCGATGTGGAGACATGACTTGTAATTGGTGTGCCAGAAAACAGGATTGGATATAATGTTTAGATGGTGATGTCTACAAAATCAATATCACTGTTAGTTGACTTTCGTATCCTCGAGTTTGGAAGTCTCACCAAGATGGGAACCCGATATAAAAAGAAAGGAATGAAATGTCACAAACACTAAATTCGAGTCGACATTTTTTTTTGTGACTGATACATCTCCCCTCATCCATAATGGCTAGTGGGTCCAATTTGCGTACTGTTGTTCACACGGCAGCAAGAAAACATTTGGAAATACTGGAGCTATTAGGAGCCAGTAATGCCACTAGCAACGAAGTGTCAGAGTCTTCGAAAATCGTCGTGTCAACGATTATCTTGATGATATGGATAATCGGCATGACGTCGAACGTCGTGATATGGATACGGGCATGTTCGCCGCGATGCCAGGGTTTGTTTGGACAGCGAGCACTCAGCGTCTACGTCGTTCACAAGTCAATCGCCGACTTCATGTTCCTCCTTAGTTGTCCCTTCCACATCGCTGCCTTGTTTCATCCCAAGGGTTGGTTGTTTGGCCCCGTGGGATGTCGCTTTATTGCGTCTGTTGACATGTTAGCCATCTTGCTTTCAGGGAACGCGCTCTTCTCGCTGGGGATCGAGAGGTATACGTCGGTCGTCCGAGCGTCGATGTCGGTTTCGCATCGTCTGAAGCGACTGCGGAGATCATACCTCCACGTCGCCGCTATCTGGGTTTACTGTGTCATCTTAGCGTCTCCTGTAATTGCAGTATCAACGTCGTACACCGGGCTCGATGGCCGCGTCTTCTGCGGTTATATCTGGCCTCAGAGTAACCAGAACTTTTACCAGATGTTCTTCAGCGTCCAGTTCTTTCTCCAATTCTTATTCGTGTTCGGTACCTTGGTCTATATGTGGTATCACGCCTGGAGGTTTGCCAAGAAGAATTCGGGCGTTCACCAATTCTTCAGCCGGCGACGCGAT